ATATACAAAAATTTCTTAAAAGAAGTTGCTCAACTGATACCTGAGTAAATGAGATGATGTAAAAAAATATATTAAGCTCAATGAACAGTACATATCTTAGTAGAATTTTTGTCTTTTTTACTTTGATTTAATGATATAAATTAATTTTTTTTTTCATGGAAAATAGAAAATAAAAAATTATATCAAAGTTTAATCAAACTTTGTATATTCAATACACTTTACATTCTGTAAATTCTTAAGTACTACAATACATAACTCGTGTGTGATAATTACCTATCTCGATAAAATGTGGCAAATTTGATTTTCTTTTTTCCATTTTTTTATCTAAATATAAAAATGAATAAAGATATTATAATCAATAAAAAAATTGTTTCGAGATTAAATCATACACCGAAATATAAATAATGATAAATATAGTGGTTAATAAAACTGTGAATAATTTTTGCAGTACTGGTACAAAATTTGTTATATAATAATCATTTTCTTAAATGGATTATTATCTACTTTATAAAATAGTTAAATATGTAAGTTACCATATAAAAAATTAAGTTACATATTTAACTACATAATAAATAAAAATATTATTTAATTAAGAAAATGGTTAGTCAAAAACAATTTTTGAAATAGTACTTCGTTAGTTATTTACATTTCTAAATATATAGTAGTGAAGGAAGAACGCTGCAGAGTAACGTGTAACGATAAAAATAACATATACCACACTTCACCTTCTTTCTATATTTTAAAATAGTTATAATTTCCGAAACGTGTGAATTTTGTCTAGAAATATACGAAACTCTAAAATCACCAAAATTGATTTTCTTAACATAATTATTATTTTAAGAGAAATCGAATGTATAATAGATGTTATTAAAATAATCACATGTATTCCTCTATGGGCGATAGAGGATCAGATTTTCGAAAAACTTAAACCAAATGAAAGAGAAATAACTAAGGTATTTAAAAAAAAAAAAAAGTTATTTTAATTTGTTCATTTTTCAAAAAGTTTGAAGTTGACATTTTCAAGAAAATTTTTTTTTTAAAATATCGAAATTTACTAATTTTAAAAATCGTAATTTTTGGGGGGTTTTCACCATTTACATGGAACAAGGGAATTTTGTCAATTTTTAAGGCAATGTATTCATCTAGATACGCTATGTGACCTTTTAATGTATCGTTAAAAAAATCAGCCTGGCGATAGCTAAGAAAAAGTGGCGACAGATACAAAATAAAATCACCCCATCATAGCAAATTAATACTTTCTCAGCTCGCATCGAAGCTAAAAAATTAAAGTCTTTTATAATTTGAATTTTAAATTGATTTTAAAATTTCTTTTTTCTATTATGTCTAAATTACAATGGTTAGGATGGATCAGTCACTTTAATGTAGCAAATTTACAAAATATAATAAGAAATCAAATGAGTTAATTTGAACAATTTAAAAAAATATTAGAAATATTAACTTAAAAACAGAACGAAGTCGAGCTAGAAATGTTGAAAAAGTATTTATTTTGGCTTATAATACATAAGTGTTTATAATCCAACAATTAGGTCGAAATAGTTAAATTATCAATATTTAAGTTATAGAACTAATTGAACAATATAGATATGATTATTCCTTGATTGACAGATTTTACACTTAATAATAAATTCTTTATGTATGTTATTAATAATTAAAAAAACCTACTATTAATAATTTCATCTGGTACTTGTACATCAATCATCTGAGTGTCTATATTAAAATAGAAGCCTAAATCGTAAAATTTTTCTATAACAATCTTTTTAATTTCATCGTTGATATTTTTATTCAAATATTGGATTTTTTTTTCATTTTGTGGATTATGGTCAGTGAATCTCTTAAATTTTTGCAGCATTGAATCAGATTTATTTTGTTTAAATCTACATTCTTTAGATGCATTAAATATTTCAATTTCAATTTTTCTATTCTCTTCATTAAAAACACATTT